CAGAGGCGCGCCTCTGCAATGTCATCGCTCAGCGTCAATTCCTATCAGCTATCCATTCAAGATAATTCTAATCATTACAAACATACAAATCATTACATAACAAATGCAGATTGAAACTAAAGGAAATTATTAAAATAGTAAAGCAGTAACGTAGTTATAATGCAATCGCAAATATTCTATAATATGCAAATCCTAAACATATCCAAAAATAATAACTAAATATGAAAGTAAATTACTAAATAGAAAATGTCACCAACATTTCCGGCCCCTAATTGCTCATCATGGGGATGAAAATTACACTAAACGAAATAAACTGAAGAGTCATTTTCTATACTCAAATCCCCATTACTTAAATGTACTGAAAGTCTAAACATGAACTAACTTAAGATCCAGTAGTTAACAGACAATTAACTGGATGAAATGTCTTTTATTGTCCATGAGATTTTTCCGTCTCTAACAAGAGACACAACTTGTCAGTGGGCTTCTCAAGGGTGTTGGTCTTGTTTTCACGAAGACCCGAGGAACGAATCCCTGGGTATCGGGGATGGTCTTCTCCACCTTTCCCATCAACCAGGACCCTCTTGAAGCCCTTTTATCCACAATGAGTACGACGTCCTCCTCTTTCAAGTTCCTCTTTTTCTCCAGCCACTTCTGCTGTTCTTTTAGGAAGGGCAAGTATTCTCTAGACCAACGCTACCAGAAGATGTCGGAGATATACTGCACCTGCCTCCATCTTCGTTTGCAGTACAGATCTTCTTTGTGAAACGTGCCAGGAGGGAGTGCTGGCCTTCCCTTGAACAGAAGATGATGATTCGGTGTCAGTGGCTCGAGGTCATCGACATAATCAGATAAGTAAGGGGTCTGCTGTTTATCACTGCTTCCACTTCGCACATCACAGTGTGCAGAAATTCGTTGTTAAGACACTGGAGCTTCAGAACACTGCTAAGTACCTTGCGCACTGTTCTTATTTTGCGCTCCCAGATTCCGCTATGGTGCGACCCAGCAGGCAGGTTGAAAATCCAGGTAACTCTTTGCAGCAGAGCTTCGGAAATCTAGTACTGATTCCATTCCTTCAGAGCCTTGCAGAGCTCGTGTTCTGTAACCACAAGGTTTGTACCGTTATCGGATCTCATAACCTTTACTTGTCCTTGTCTAGCAATGAAACATCTCACTGCATTTATACATGATTCTGTGTCCAGTGAGTGTGCGATTTCGATGTGGACGGCTCGGATTGTAAGGCAAGTAAACAAGACTCCATAGCCCTTGACTCACGCTCGTCCACGCTTGGCTTCAAAGGGGCCGAAATAATCTACGCCGACGTTGGTGAAAGATGGGTGATCTGCCTGAAGACGATCTGGTGGTAGATTTGCCATTTTCTGTTCGCCAACTGTGGTTTGACTCTTTCGGCATTTCACGCACTTTGAAAGCACACTTCTCACTGCTGCATTCCCTTTGCATATCCAGACTCTTTCTCTCAGTCTAGCGAGGTTGTGGTTCCTCCCTCCATGCCCGGTCTCCTCATTTACCTCCCTGATGATCAGAGTTGTGACATGATTATTCTTGGCTAGAATAGCCAGATGCCTTGTGTGTTCCGGCAAGGCTGCCTGGTGCAGTCTTCCACCACCCTGGGGGACACCATCTTGGAGGAACGGATCCAATTTCACGATGAAACTACTTCTCTTGACCTTATCACCCTTCTGCAGTGCACAAAGCTCTTCATGAAAGGTTTGTCTTTGGCTAAACTGAATGATGGCAGTTTCCGATCTCCTGATGTCCTTGACGGCCTGATGGGTTTCTTTCAGACCAGATTTCCACTTCTGAATATGGTTTTCAACAATCTTGGGTTTCACAGTTTGACTATCTTGAGACTGGGTTTGAGACTCAAAGATTTTCCTTTGTTCACACAGATTTCTAAGCAACTCCTTCAGCTTCAACAGGCAGGCGACGGCCTTCCTTAGACTGTGCCAGTTAGAATAATGATAAATCAGCTTGATGAGTGGGTCTGTTCTTGAGGTTGATGAGGTTCACAGTGATCTTGCGCTTCACCTCGGCATCGTCATCGCTTATCTCTCTTGGGAACTCTGAGAGGACTGGACAGTGAGACTCGTCCTTAGCAAGGAAGTCAGGTCCTTCAATCCAACTCTGACACTCCATAAAATGCTCTGCATTCATTCCTTGTGATGCGTGGTCAGCTGGATTAGAAGATGTACAGATGTATCTCCACTGTGCTGGCCTTGTGTACTCCCTGATTGTTGACACTCTATTGGCTATAAAGTTTTGAAACAAGCGCAATCATTGTCAATATATTGGAGGACAGTGGTGCTATCTGTCCATAGCATGGACTCCTTGAGGTCCATCCGAAATTCTTGCTTCATGAGCTTGTCCATTTTCACCACGATGGTAGCTGCAGCCAGCTCAAGACATGGGACAGTAACTGGCTTGAGCGGCGTCATACTAGATTTTCCTAGAAGAAAGGAGCAATGGACTTGACCATGGCTGTTCTTAATGTGAATGTAGCTGACGACTCCATAGCCCTTCTCGCTAGTGTCAGAAAAATGGTGTAGCTGCGCTGACACTACTGAACCAAATCCCTCCAGTTGGATGCACCTCTTGACAGAGAAACTGGCGAACCGGCTCAAGTCAGACAGCCAGGTAAACCATCTGTTCGCAATTTCTTCAGGAATGTCATCATTCCAGGTAAGTTTCAATCGACAGAGATTTTGCACAATGATCTTAGCCAAAAGGATGAATGGTGACAGGAAGCCAAGGGGGTCGTAAATTGAGTTTACAACTGAAAGGATACCCCTTCTGGTGACAGGCATATTCTTCACAAGAATGCAGCTTGAAAGAATCGGATTCTATGCACCAGTCCACTCGAAGCGCCCTCTCCATGGGTTGCTCATCCCTGTCCAGATCTAGATTCTTGATCTCCTTCGCACGCTCATGTTTGGGGGGTGATGACAATGCTTCACGGCTGTTGCTATACCATTTAGCCAAATGGAATCCTCCACTTTTGCAGAGTGCAATGAGGTCTTTGGTCAAGGTAATAGCCTTCTTCTCATCAGACACTGAGACAAGACAGTAATCTACATAGAAGTGCTGGAGAATTGTGGTTACTGCCTAAGGTGATGACCTATCTTTCCCATCCTCTGCAGTCCGGCGCAAAGCGTAGTTAGCAAAGCTTGGGCTGGACTTGGCCCAGAACAGGTGCACAACCATCTTATACTCACGCAGAGGCTGGTTCAGATCTCCCACTGGCCACCAGAGGAATCGCAAAAGATCAGAATCTTCGTCAAAGACTCTCACCTAGTGATACATTGCCTCTATGTCTGAGATGAGTGCAATGTGATCAAGGCGAAATCTTGTCAGGACTCCAACCAGACTGTTCGTGAGGTCCGGCCCCTGTAACAACTCCTAATTCAACGGCTTCCCTTGGAAAGAAGAGGTGCAATCAAAGACGACCCGCAACTTACCCTTCTGCAGATGGATCACGCCATGATGGCGAATATACCATACTTGGCCATCGTTGTGGTTGCGCTCATTGGCAGGGACTTC